GTCACCGTGTATATTTTTTCTATTTCTCCTTTCTTTGCCCTTCATTGTTTTCTGCACATCTTCTAATATTTCTCAGCATCACTCTTATGTTTGCTGTTTATTAGGTTGCAATGATAGTCCATTTGTTTCATATACAATCATTTGTTTAGCCATTCCTCCATGAGCACCTACTTCATTCCCTGTTTTCTGCTGCCACAAAAAGGGGTGCTACCAATATTTTCTTGCTGTCTTTCACCTTCTCAGGGCCCCCATGCCCAGTAGGGGCTCAATAGACATGATCTGTTCTTGATGGAACCCTGCTGGCTCTTTGTGATTATAGCCCCCTTTCTTAGTGTTTGCTAACTGTCTCTTTAATAAGATATTTTAGAATTTTGTCAGGAATCATTGACCTATAGTTTGCAGACTCCATTCTTTTTCCTTTTTTTGAAAATCTGGCCCACATTTGCCCTTCTCCAATCCTCTAGTATATCTCTTGTTCTCCAGGCTCTTTTAAAAATCAGAGACAATGGAAGTTCAGAAGGAAAGACAGACAGTCAGGACAGCTTTGAAAATAGCATGTTGATGACTAATGTGGAAATATTTTTTTAATATGATTACACATGTATAGCCTACATCAGATTTCTTATCTTCTTGGGGAGGGGGATGAGGAGGGAGGGAGGGAGAAAAAAAATTAGGAACTCAAAATCTTATAAAAGTGAATGTTGAAAACCAAAAAATAAATAAATTTAAATGAAAAGAAAATAGAATGTTGAATCTTATGCGTATATAGAGATTCATGCGTATCTATATGTACATCTTGTTGTTCAGCTGTGTCTGACTCTTTGTGACCCCATGAACCATAGCCCACCAATACTGTCCATGAGGGTTTTCTTGCCAAAGATAATGGAGTGGTTTGCTATTTCCTTTTCCAGTAGATTAAGGCAAACAGGGGTTAAGTGACTTGCCATGGGTCACATGGCTAGTAGGTGCCTGAGGTCACATTTGAACTCTGGTTTTCCTGACTCCAGGCCCAACACTTTATCTACTGCACCACCTAGCACAGATATATAAAGCAAGCTGTGGAAAATACAGATTCACATTTTCATATGTAGTCTTCTTTTTCTCTTCTACTTTTTTTTTTGCATGAGGAAATGTTCACATTTTTTGGAGGAAGTGATATTCATTTAAGTCAGAATAAAAAGAAACAAATGAATTAGTGACAGCCATTGAACAATCACATCTTTTAGTATCTTGAAATGTAGCTTCTCCAGGCTTAGGTAACTTGGACTCAGTTAAGAACAGCTAGACTCTCTCTTGCTATCTTACATACTTACTCATTTCCTTTCTTATCCTGGTTTTCAATTCCTTGTTAGTCATTTTGGTTCTGTCCTTTCCAGTTCAAAGATCATTCTCCTTGGCACAGAATACAGAAATAAAACAAGAGTTGAGTACCTGTTTTCTCTCTCCTCTTTCCTTTTTTTTTTTTGTTTTATTTTTGCTAGGCAATGGATTAAGTGACTTGCCCAGGGTCACACAGCTAGTAAGTGCTATGTGTCTGAGGCCGGATTTGAACTGAGGTCCTCCTGAATCCAGGGCCAGTGCTCTACCCACTGTACCACCTAGCTACCCCATTCTCTTTTTTTCTCCAACAGAGCTTTAAAAAAAGAAACTTTAAAAAAAAATCCTTAGCATTCTTTAGGAGCCTTAGCTCATTTTGAGCTTCAACTCTCCTGACCCTATTGTTACATATTATTATTACATACACCTTTGTATTCATTCTCCATTATTTTCCCTTGCTTCCTTCTTCTGTATTCATCTTTCTTTGCATGGCTGTTATGTCTTTGAAAAATCAGCCCCTTCAGACCCACACTTTCCCCTTTTCTTTCTTCTATTGATTGTTTTTCTTTGTGTCTTTAGAATTTAATTCTTTAGATCTGCCCATCTGTCCTGGATTAATTGCACCAATAGAATATTAGTCCATAAAACTCCTACTTATTCTTTCTCTGAACCCTTCAAAATCTGCTCTTCCAAAACCTAGAATGTGTGTCAGACTTTTCTCAGTTTTCCTGTCTTCTTGATCACAAATATTAAGACAGAGTGGTAACTTTTCCCCAAGCTTTTCATTATTTGCATCCAAGTGACCAGCTTCTCCTTACTGACAAGAATCAGATCCAGAACAGAATTGTCCATTTTGGGTTCTTTTGTCTTTTGACACATGAAATGATCAGTAAAGCAAGCCATGAAGTTATTATTAGATGCTCTGCCTCTGGCTGAGGGGAAACTCTAGCACAGAGGTGTCAAACACACAGGCCAAAGGCCACCCTGGAGTGTGGCTGAACCAGATTCAAATGGCATTTAGCAAAATAAATAAAAACACAATAGAACATAGTGTTAATATGTGATTTTCTACGTCAGTGTATGTCAGGCAGGCCTGTGTCTATTTGGGTTTGATGCTACTGCTCTAGCTGATGTCCAGGTCAGTGAAGTCATCCATCTTCCATCATGGTTAGGTCTCATTGACACTGGAGAGGGTCTTCTACAAGTAGAGATGGCACAACTCTTGAATAGAGGGAGTGAATGGCAGACAGGGAGGCCAGGGCTGTATTTGCAAGCACTCTGTGATTAGTTGCTTGCCCTATATTCAGCTTACAGAAGCTGTTATTTGAGGGGCCTTGGGAGCTATCGCTTCCAAGGAAAATTGTTTTCTTGGCTTGTTAATTGTTTGGGTTGATGCTTCATAGTTTCTGTAAGCCAGAAATTGTCATGTTACATGGTATCACTTCTTCAGTACATTTCACCACTGGGACTTTGCTTTTTGAGAGATACATGCACGTGCTTTAGCAGTTTTAAGTAGAAACTGTGTTTCCAATTTGTCCACTATTTTCCTTAGTGGGAGGATAGGGCCAATAGGCCTACCAGCTCACTTCTTTATTCTACATACCTTCATACCATCAGTGTATTCTTTGTAACATAGCCCTATTCTCTCCTTGACCCTTCCCTGCCTCCCCCAACTATGTAGCTAGCTTGGGCTCCTGTCAAAGATCCTATTCTATTCTATTTTTTTTTTAATTTTTGTTTTTAGGCAATTGGGGTTAAACGACTTGTCCGGCGGCACACAGCTAGTGAGTGTCAAGTGTTTGGTCTGAGGCTAGATTTGAACCCAGGTCCTCCTGACTTCAAGGCTGGTGCTCTATCCACTGCGCCACCTAGCTGCCCCAATCCTGTTCTATTCTTGACTTGGTTCCCCGAGTTTTCACTTTCCTTTCTAGAGTTCTCCCTGTCTTCCCACTAATATTTCCAACAGTTTTCTCCCATCCTAAATGCTACATCACCTTATACCCTATTCTCTTGTCCCCTCGAAAATCCAATCTCTCTACATCATTTCAGCATCCTTCAGTCTCAGCTCAATGGTCCAGCACTGAGAGATGCTTAGGGGAATACAGGAGAAATGCAGTTCCAGCCCTCAAGGAATTTATATAGTAATTGAAGAGAGAAGAGGTGTAGCCCAGAAGCAATTAGAGAAAGAACGATGAATCAAAAATAAAGAGACTTGTGGGGTGCATCCTAGGAACGAGGCACTGGCTGTGGGAGATACAAAAGAAAGAGCTCAAAGTCTACTGGGAAGATAAGGTGTGTACACGTAAGGAGTTAACTAAGAGCACACTTTAGAAAAGAAGAGTGATGCAAACAGTAAATGCTATGGAGTGGGCATCAGAAGAGCTAGGGTTCCCTGTGACTTGGGGTGGCTAGGAGGAGGTGGAACTGCAGCTGGGCTTTCAAGAGATTGGCAGGGTTTACACAGGCAGAGAGGAGAAAGGTCATGGGGGGGGAATGTGAGAAAAAGTGTGGAGGTGAGAATAAACCTGGTATTTTAGATGGACAGTGAGATTCTTCATGCCCCATTTCTTTTTTTATCTTGCCTTGACATGTGGCTACTTATTCCACTGTTTTGAGTTGAGTGGAGAAAATGATCCACCTTTTTCCATGCATAGTACCTGGGGTGCCCCTTTCTCATGTTGTTGGAGTAATGGGAGAGTAAGGTGGATAGGTAGGGTTGGGGGAGGCCTTGAAAACTTTGTACAGGAGTTTAGACTTGCTATCAGTGGGGAACATTGTCTGCTCTTGATGTTTCATAGTTACATAATATGTGTAGGATAGATTGGCAGAGTAAGAATTAAATGAATTAAAATGAAATTAGATTAATTCTCTTGACTGGATTTGACTTGTGGTGCCAAAGAAATGGAAACTAAGAGGGATGCCCATCAGTTGGAGAATAGCTGAACAAATCTTGGTATATGAATGTAAAAGAATATTATTGTCATAGGAAATTATGAGAAGCCTGGGAAGATTTGTTTGAACTGATGCAGAGTGAAATGAACAGAATTAAGATAACATGTTTATTATAACAACAGTGTGAAAACAAACAAACCAAGTTAAGAGATTTAAGGACTTTGATGGAGGCAGGGATCAGAATGATTCCAGAGGCTGAAGACTCATGTGATGGACTCAATATGCAACAGACAGACTCACATTTTTGGACATGACCTATCTGAGAATTTGTTTTCCTTTGTGTATTTCTGATAAGAGTTTTGCTTTGTTTTGTCCTCCAGTGGGGGAACGGACTCTGCCCGGTAAGCCCCCCACCCCCACCCCATGCCCAAGGCTTTGGCCCAGGTGATGGGATTCAAACCCAGCAGAGCTCCAGCCTCGAGCGGCTCTTTAAGCAGGCTGCGATCTTTTTGAAGGCCGCATTTAGGCCTTTTTGGTAACTTCTGGGGAGGGGGGTGGCACTTTAATTCAGTACCCACTCTTGAGATTTCTCTCCTCTCCCTGGAGAAGAACTCAGGCCATTTCTGCAGCTCTCGCGCTGTTCTCCGAGATCCCCGAGGTGGCTCTGGTGTTGTTTTTTTTTTTTCAAGCAATTTAGAAAATATGCAAACGTGCCTGCGCCTTCCTGGCCCGGGACTGCAGCGCTGCAGGGGCAAGCCGGGGGGCGGGCACGGGGGCGGGGGAGGGGCTTGGGCGCTGGCCCCGCCCCTGCCCTCCCCTCGGGGCTGGGCCGGCGCGGCACTGGGCTTCTGCTCTGTCCCAGCAGTGCGTGCAGCCCGGTTGCCCCGCTCTTCCTACTCCTCCCCCTCCTTCTCTTCCTCCCCGCCACCGTCGCCGCCGCCCCAGGACTCAGCCGAGCTTCCCCAGAAGCCGCCGCCGCCGCCGCCGTCGCCGCCGCCGCCGCCCTCAGGATGGTGATCCGCGTGTACATCGCGTCCTCCTCCGGTTCCACCGCGGTAAGCGGGGGCCCGGCCGAGGGTTTGCTGGCTGGCCCCATCCGACGGCCCAAGTTGCCCGACAGCCCCGCTCTCCTCCCCCGCTCTTTTGCCCCGCTCGCTCGCATCCCCCGGGGCTCGTCTGGGTACCATGGTTCATCCGGGAAAGGAAAGCAGCGCAAAAGTTAACTGCTCACTGGGCACACGGGGTTTAGGCTTGAGGGGACGGAAGAGGGGGAAACTGAAGCACATTGCGATTGGAGAGGGCCTTACATCGAGGCCTCCCGAGATACGCGGGATTCATGAAGGGAGGGTGGCACATTTGGGATGAATGTGGAGAACAGGGAGGCTTCACTTGGGGAGGCCTGACAGCACCAGCTGAAATGAGGAGGTGGGCTGGGCCTTTTGGCAAACGATGCCAAGTTGGAGCCCTCGAAGTGGCTGAGGGCCCCAGCTCTGCCCCGCTGGTGTTTGCCTCCCTTTGTCGCTTCTCCTGCTCTTTTTCTTTCCATAGGTTCCAATTCCTATCACGCCCAAGCACGGAGAACTGCCAAAGAAAAGAATAAGTGGCATATTCTTTCTATAGGGGCATGAAGAAGAGACTACCTTTACTGCTCTTTCATTTTAATGTCTGAAAACCACTTTTAAGTAGCTGGGGTGGGGGGAGAGGGAGAGAGATATTTGAGATTCGATAACCTGGGGCGGAGTCTGAGTGTGTGTTTGTGATAAATGGAAGTGCCTCCCTCCCTCTTCCCCATATCCCTAGAGAAAGGCCAACAGTAGGGAGAGCAGATGTCTGGGAGTTAGGGGAAGTGGGTAGGGCCCTTGGGAGTAGGGGCTCCTTTTCTCAGACTTTTAGAGCAGCAGGGAAGAGGCTTGGGGGTGGGCCCAGAGGTTCTGTGAACTCCTAGGACTGGGAGGTGGAAGAGTTCCATTCCATCATTTGGATCCAGTAACCATGCTGGAGAGGAGGGGACTTGTTTAGAGCAGGCTATGTAGGCATCCCTGGAAGGACTGTGCCTGAGAATCACATTCAGAGGGACTGTTTCTTTTTGTCTTTGGCTGCCTGGCACCTAACACTTTGCTTGGCACAGAGGAAGCCCTTGCAGCTAAAGGATAAAACATTTAACCAGGTCTGTTTTATGCCTTAGGAAAATAGAATCATAGACAGAGAGTGGGAAGAGACCTTGGAGGTCATGTAGTCCATCCTCCTTAGTTTACAGAGAATGAAAGTAAGGGCAGAAGAGGTAAGATGACTAGTCCAAAGTCATTCAGTTAAGTGGCTTTGCCCCAAAATCCAGTGCTCCTTCTTGGGGTTCTTCATGGCTTCCACAGTCTGACCTCCAAATAAAGGTCTAGGCCACAATAACTTTGAGAGCATTTCCTTTTACTGAATGTTTTATGTTTTGGTAGCATGGAGTGGGAGTGGGGCAGGGAAGAAGGTAGAATCTGATACAGTTGGACAGCTAGGTGGATAGGGTGACAGGCCTAGAATCAGGAAGACCTGAGTTCAAATCCATCCTCAGACACTAACTAGCTGTATGATCCTGGACAAGTGCTTTACCTTGTTTGCCTCAGTTTCCTTATCTGTAAAATGAGCTGGGGAAGGGAATGGCAAACACACTCAGCTATTTTTGCCAAGAAAACTCCAAGTGGGGTCATGAAGAGTCAGAGATGACTGAAAAATGACTGAGATAATACAGCTTCCAAAATCTGTTTAGCTCCTTGCTGTAAACACTTTCTAGACTAAGCCAAGACAGTAGGCAGTCACAGTGATACTGACAGCTGACTTTGCTTTGTGGAAGGAGGCACTCACTTTGACCATTGTCTACTTCCTCCCACTCTGCACCCCAAGGCATACATATAGACAAGTAGACTGGGGGCAGCTAGGTGGCACAGTGGATAGAGTTCCAGGCTTGGAGTCAGAAGGACTTGAGTTCAAATTTGGCCTCATACTTGCCGCTTACTAGCTGTATGACCCTAGGCAAGTCACTTAACCCCCATTGCCTCATGCAAAAAAAAAAGAGAGAGACCCTTGGTTATTAACTCTTGAGTCTTAACAAAGAGTTCTCTTCACATTTTTTTTTCTCTTTGGCACCAGAGTTTGTATTCTCAGGACTGGAGCTCCTCATCTGATTTCTACTTTGTTCCGACCACTATCTTTTCCACCCTCCAATAATCAACGGCTACCCTTACTCTTATTTGCAGGCAGCTTATGCTGCTGCTGAATCCCTTACTGACACTGAGGCTTTCTGGAATCCTCCATAAAGTTCATGGTTTGAGAGACCCAGGCAATCTATAATAGATCTTCAAGTGCTAAAGAAATGAACGTTTTTATAATGAGACTTGTGCTGGTTTTTTTTTTTTGTAATGTTGAGGTGCCTAGTTGTAATGGATGTAAATACTGTACATATGAACCTTGCTTTAAAAGAATCTGGTATATGAGAATCAGAATTCACTAAACATCAATTGGTTCATTTTAATTCAATTCAGTAAACATTTATTAAGCACCCGCTCTCTGCCGGGCACCATGATAAGTACTGGGGTTACAGAAAGAGGCAAAAAACCATTCCTGCCCCCAAGGAGCTTACAGTCTAATGAGGGAGACAACATGCAAACAAATATATATGAAGCAAGCTATATATAGAATTAATAGAAAATAATTAACAGAGGGAAAGCACTGGAATTAAGAGAGGTTGGAGAAGGCTTCCTTTAGGAGGTAGGATTTCATTAGGGGTTTAAAGGAAGCCAGGGAGGTCAGTAGTCAGAGCAGAGGAGGGAAAATGTTCCAGGAATGGGACAACCAGAAAAAAAAACATACTGGAGGCTGAGAAATGTCTTGTTGGTGGAACAGCCTGGAGGCCAGAGTCACTTCATCTCTGGGTACCTATCTTAGGCAGTAAGACTGGAAAGGTAGGAGGGGCTAGGTTATAAAGGGCTTTGAATGCCAAACAGAACTTTGCATTTGTTCCTGGAGGCCATAGGGAGCCTCTAGATGGGGTGGAGGGGAGGGGTGACTTGATCAGATTACAAAAGGATTCCTCAGTTTACAATAGGATTTGTCCCAGGGGGCCTTTAAATACACAGCCCTCCTGTTTTTATTTAAAATAGGATTTGATTTATAAGAATTTCTCTTGGGCTCAGCTTTGCTGGAGCATGCCTGTTGCATGAAGTGAGGCATAGCTGTAGGGGCCAAAGCTGGAACTATTTGAAGCTTGTTTCATAAACAGCATTGCTCTAGTGCTTTGAGATTACTTCACTATAACCCTGTGGGGTACGTAGTGGAAGGATGATTGCTCCTTTTCACTGATGAGGAAACCGACTCAGATAGGAAAAATGACTTGTTCAAGGCCAGCCAGAAGCCTGATAATATCAGATTGGTTTTGAGGATTCTACACCTAGAGCCTCAGGGGCCCCAGAAGCCTTATAGTCTAACATCCTCATTGTATAGCTGAGGAAACAAACTTGAGGTCCCTCGTAGGGAAGCGAGTTACCCAAAGCCCCATAAGCTGTAAATGGCACGGCTGGGATTTGAACCCAGGTCCTCTGACTCATTTTCTTTCTTCTTCACTTTGCTTCTGGTCTCTGCCATTTTCTGACTTCTCAGGTCATGGAAATGACCATTTGAACCAGTTTCCTTGAGAAGTACAATAATTGGTGAGATAAATCTTATTTGTTTCGCCCTTCTTCCCTGGTCATCCTGTCCCATTATTAAAAAAAAAAGGGTAAGAAAAGCTCTCAAATTTATCCTTGATATTCACACCCTCTTTTTTTGTTTGTTTGTTGCTAGGCAATGGGGTTAAGTGACTTGCACAGGGTCACATAGCTAGTAAGTGTCAAGTACCTGAGATCGATTTGAACTCAGGTCCTCCTCACTAAAGAGCTAGCTGCCCCCTCACATCCTCTTTAAAAGAGGCTGTATGATGTTGGGAAAAACAGCTTTGTTAGCAGGCAGAAGACCCAGCTCTGTCACTTGGACCAACATTGGAGCCTTGGTGCCTTCATCTCAAAAATGGGGATGATAACATCAGCCCTGCCAAGCTCCCAATGTCTTTGTCACGATCAGATGAGATTGTGGATGGGCTTTCGGATCAGTTAACAAGTGTGAAGCACCTACTGTGTGCCAGGCAACAGTGCTAGGTGCTGGTGATAAGAATGAAACAGTCCCTACCAGCCAGGAGCTTCTATCCAAGTTGGAGAGACAGCAAAGACATATAAAATGTATAGAGCTGAAATACAAAATTACTAAATCCAAGTGTATACAAAGTAGTTAACAACAGGTTATTTATCCAGTTCAAGAGAGAAGGCACTAGCAGAGAGGGGATCAGGAAAGGCTTCATGCAGAAGACAGTGCCTGATCTTCAAGGGAAGAGAGGCCCTCTATGAGGTGGGACCAGAATGCATTCCAGGCATGGGGAACAGCCAATGCAAAGGCAAGGAGACTGGAGATTGAGTGTTGTGCATGAGGAACAGGGAAGACCAATTTGGCAAGATCACAGAGTGTTGGAAGAGCAGTGACGTTCAGTGAGGATTGAAAGCTATTTTGAGGTCAGGTTCTGTAGGGTGTTCAAAGATTTATTTAAAAATTTTTATAAGTTTGAGTTTTATCTTAGAGGCTATAGGAAGCCAGTGCAATTGGTTGAGTGGAAGAGTCATCTGGTTAGATCTATTTTTAGTGCTTAAGAAAAGTTCCTTTGGCCACAGTCTGTAGAAGGCCTGTAGTGGTTAGATAGAGGTGGGAGTCAGGGAGATCAGTTAGGAGGCTGCTGCAGTAGCCTAAGCAAAGGTGTGGCTGCATCACCAGAGAGATGAGGTTGGAGATTGATTATTTGGGGTGGGGGAGTGGGAGGAGTCAATGCTAAGGTAATAATATTGATAATGACATCCTGATGATAATGAAGATAACAGTTATGAACCCCAGACCCTGGAAGGATGGTAGTGCCTTTGACAGAAATAGAGAAGTTTGGAAGACAGAAGGGTTTGGGGTGTGTGTGTGTGTGTGTGTGTGTGTGTGTGAGAAA